CTTTAGAACTAATTAATACCTGCAGTACTGAAGATTGCCTAATACATATAGTTTTGAAATTCAGAAATATTTAAAAACAATTTCAAGTTACATACGTATGTTCATGAGTCTGTGTATGCATGTATGCGTGTGTGTGTGTGTGTGTGTGTGTTTGTGTTTGTGTGTGTGTGTGTGTGTGTGTGTGTGTGTGTGTGTGTGTGTATGTGTGCTAGAAAGCCATTCTTACTAATATGTCCAAAGAGAGACAGGAAAAGCAGACCCCTAATTTCTCTTTGGTGTGATGAATGTGACAGATGTGTCCAGTCAAAGCCTAGTCTAATAGTCTCCTGAGCTATGACTTCAGTAGAATACTATTGTCCTCTGAAATATTTAAGTGGCAATATCAATGTTGACATTTAAAATACATAAATATATTTAATGGACAGACACAACAATGTATTTAAATGCTCAGATACACTATTGTGGTCTGAACATTAAATAATATATATTAATTTACCTTGTCTACCTAGAAATAAAATTTGCCCAAAGTGTCTTCTTTTATGTGTCAATTTAGGCTTATCTCTAGCAACTGAAATTCAACATAAAAAAAAAACACAGAAAATTGACAATTATGTAAGGCTGACTGACCAGTTAGAGCTTTTGTGATCATAGAATTGGAATGTGGCAGACATGGAGCCAAATTACCTTGGATTACCATAGGTCCTTTAATAGCCTTCTTTTAAAATTGTGATCTAATATCTTTGTTTAAAACCTTCAGGTAAAACCTCTGAGATGCATTCTTAGCCTACCACTAATTTTCCAGCAGTTCAAGAGTTAAGCATGTCATCAGTATAGTTTCTCTCACTCTACTCTAACCCATTCCTTGAAGTATAATTTTCTTTTGGTCTGTGATTATAAAAGTTCATATAGTCTGCATCAAGATGGAGCATATAATCATATCTGGCAACCTGAATCTGTGTTCCAGGGTCATGGTCACTCATATTTGCCTCAGAATAATCTCTCCCAACTCCTTTAAGATGGGAGCTATACTTTTCTTGAAGATCTCTGAAAGTTGCACAGCCTCACCTCAATTGGGTGGTCCTTGATGGAATCATTACAGGCTGAGTTCCAGCTGGATCTGCTTATTCTGTGTTTTCCTCCTTGCAGGGAATATTCTTTTATCCTTAAACCATTGATTCATCCCCAAGATTTTGACTGAAGAAGGCATCCACTGAGCTACTCTGCAGGGTCTCTGGCCTCCTGTGGTTTACATTCCAGTGGGAGAAACAGGAAATGGTGGTGCAGTCAGTGCCAGGACTGAGGCTGGGGACAGTGTGCTTTGAAAGCGTGAGAAAAGCCATCGACCCCTTTGCAAGTAGGGTAGAGTTTGAAGAGAAGTGGAGTCTTCCTGGAAGCAGCAATGTGATCTGGAGAATGAACTGACTTTACTGTGTGAATAGGAGCCAAAGCCATGTTCTGGGCAGAGGGAAGAGCGTACACAAAACCTCAGAGGACAGAGGGAACGTGGTCAATAAAAGAGTTTACAGAGTTCAAGGTTGACTGTATGTACTAGGAGAGACAGACAAGAGGTGAAGAGGACAGAGCGAGAAGTGATTTCCAATGTCTTAAACCTGAAAAACTAGATACTTCATGCTGGAAGAAAATTTTTATATGTAAGCTAGGATCTTGAAACAATGTGTGGAAAACTGATACTTTTCTTTACAATGACAGAAAAGATCCACTGAATACTATTTGTTAATCTAACCATAACGAAACCACCTACACTCAAGTAAAGTATTGTCTTAGCATAGTAAATTAGTCATGGTAATAGACAATTTCAAAACTGGAGAGACAAAAATTCAATTTTTCAAAAGTAGGAAATAAAGAAAAATTTACAGTATCCAAAATTTGTAGTTTCATTTTCCACAGTTTTACTTAATTGGAACACAAAATAAATCCATATTTAATTTAAAGATGTTAATAAATTTTAATATTAAATTGTAAATAAGCCATTTTCTATTCTTTTGCATCATCTTTGAAACTAGTGACTTACTTCTTAGCTCATTTCCAATGTGGAAGTTCATACCTGTAGGAGATGCTGTAGCCATGCCTGTTTAGGGGCTGGCTACAGGTGTGCCTGACCATGCCTGTGAGGTGAAGTAGAATGAGGGGCGTTCAGGTGGGTGGTTTCGGTTTTGTTTCACTTTCGGCTTGCTGTACAGACTGTACAGCATGACGGCTGGCTAGGTCACTCTGTAAGTAAGGCTTTTTCTCCATTAAAATCCCTTGTATTTTTGTCTGGCTCTGTATCGATAATTTCCCACATTACATACTTGCTGCTGTGGTCTAGTGAAAAGTCATAGCTGGGGAGCCCATGGGCTAGTAGATGAACCTACCCCATCTGTTTTGTGAAATGAGGATGCTGACAGCCTAAATCCCTAGCTTCCTACTGATACACCAGGCCTATCTTCAGCCTCAGTCAGAGAATCTTTTTTTGTCACGAATAGTTGTTAGTGACGAAACGTGTGGCTTTGAAAGTGTAATGTTTGAGTCATTTTGTTCAGTCCTTGTTGTGACAACCATACCACTGCTTTCACAGCTCAAGGAACATCAAGGAAGAGGGAATATAAAGGCCACAGGATGGCCATGAAACACATCTTCTAAACATGTCATATCCAATACACTCACGAATTCATAGAAACTGTGGCTGCCTTTTCTAGACTGAACTTGTCAGAATGGTTTCTGGGGGGAAGCATGGGACCATGGCTCTCATAGGAGAGTTATCAGCTATTGGTAGTTGTGGCTGCTAAAGGAGAGGGCAAAACTGTCTTTAGTGATGTAGACACTAGCTCATATCCTATCCACAGGGGCAGTCTTGGTTATACCCAGTGGGACATAAAACAAAACAAAATAGAAAGAGATGACAGTGGGATGAAGACCTGTTACAAGGAGTGGAGTATTGATAGAGATGGAGGGAGTGTGAAAGGGTGGGGTTGTGAGTGTGACCAGGGTGTACTACTTAATGCACAAAATTGTCAATAATTAAACTTTTATAAAGTGTTGTGGGATCATCCAGCTAGGGGCATCTACATCTGGACAAGGCTGCTTGAGAGCACGGAGAAACACAGCAGCCATGAGGCATCGACCTTTATTACTTTGCCATGATACATTTAGGAAATGGTCAAGATGAGTTCAGGTGGGATAAAGAAATTAGTAAATCTACTTAAATATGTGGGCTGTTGTATGGATGTGGTCATTCGGAGTTTCACTAAAATGGAGCACTACTAGAAGGTTAAACTTCACTGGGGGAGGGTTGTCTGAACAGATGGCTCAGCAGTTGTGTGCATCTCCTGCTCTATCGTAAGACCAGAGTTCAGATCTGAGCATCCACATGGGTGCTTTAGAAATTCCTGTAACTCCAGCTCCAAGGAATCATATGCCTTCTTATGGCCTCCGTGGGTATCTTCATACACACACCACACACACACACACACACACACACACACACACACGCACACGCACACGCACACGCACATGATATGCCTTCTTATGGCCTCCGTGGGTATCTTCATACACACACCACACACACACACACACACACACACACACACACACGCACACGCACACGCACACGCACACGCACACACACACGCACACATACAGACACCACATTTTTTTTTAAGCTTCTCTGGTAAGGTGACCATGAGCAACAAAAATAGTTTTTAAATAGACTTGTATTAAAAAATATAAAATCCCTCCAACACTTCAAAGTATCAAACTCAAATCCATTTGAAATAATCAATTTAAAAGCCATCAGGTTGACTTTAATTTTAGCAGCTATTTCAATTGGAAAGGACAGCTGTCTTTGGACAGCAGGATTTTAGTAAGTCCACAGCTGGAGGCTGTAAACCAGCGTTCATCTTGATTTAATGCTGCTTTAAGTTTATAAGAAAAATGTCCCTGTGTAAACAGCAGACATTTTGATTAAACACAAAAGTTCTTATTTTGGCTGTTAAATCAATAATGCAGCTGGCCTTGGAGTAGTTTACATTCTCTCAAAACTGGGCTTCAGTTCAGCTGGTACTGTGCTGACATCATTTTCCAGCAAGGTTTAGCCACTCTCAGCAGTCAGGTTAGAAACACTCTTTGCAAACAAGCCCCATGATGCAGAGCACTCACACGTTCATCCAGAGGGTCTCACAAATGCTGGAGCTCAAAATAGCACAGGCGATCCAAAAATAGTGTCTCAGCAGATGGGGAATTTACTAGTACAGTAATTGTTCAACGCTGTAAGATAAAGGCCTTGGTGGTGGTGTTTGTTTTGTTTTGTTACCTGAAACAGGCTTTGGATTTCTTTGTATCCAGGTGTGTGTGTGTGTGTGTGTGTGTGTGTGTGTGTGTGTGTGTGTGTGTGTGT